GAGCCCAGTACCTGTGACTGTCCCTTCTTCAAGGCGGACATGGGGGATGGGACGGCAGGTTGTTGAGTCCCCCGGCCCCACGTGTCAGCCCCTCCTCCCGCTGAGCCCCCTGATGGAGGGGGTGGCGCAGAGGCAGTGAGGTCTCTCCTCCCAGAACCACTTGCCCTCCCTTAAAGGAGCCAGCGGCTGGGGCAGCCAGAGCAGGAGTGAGGGGTCTTGGAGTCGGACTTCCTCCCAGATGGTCTGCTGGAGCCCGAGGAGCCAAACGCTGGCTTCTGGTTGAAGGAAAAGGTGGTGGTCATCCAAGTGCTGGCCCAGAAGGCTGGGCGGCGGGTGAGGCTCTCATGCCCACCTGGCAGGGGCTGCCTCGGGGGCCTCCAGAGAGCATCGTTGGCACCCCAGTCCAGGCACCACGCGGATGTGGGACCTGCTAGGGGTGCTGCTGCAGGCTCAGGGCCCGAGACCAGAGAGCCCCGGGCTGAGCGCCCTCGCCGACCGGGAGTTACGTTGCTGGGTAGCCCCGGCCCCCTCCCTGGCGTGAGCCCGAGGCCTGTGGGAGGCGGCTGTGCTGGGAGGGAGCGGCTGGGAGGTGGCATCTCAGGGCTTTGCCTCCCGAAGCAGCAGGCATGGGAGTAAGCGCCCCCTTGCTGGCGCCAGGGAAGATGCCCACCGCCTGGGCTGATTCCAGGATCCGTGCCAACCGGGCCTTCTGCCCCGAGAAATCACAATCAGGTGCATGGTGCACCCGACACAGCGGAGCATCTCGCCGCCGTTCCGGAGCCTTCTCTCCCGGCGACTGCCTGGCGGGGGGCCTCTCCCTTAGGACAGCTCAGCTGGGGGACAGGGCGGGGTTCCCTCTGTGCCCGTGTCGGGTGTGATGGGCGCCCAGAGCCAGGCTGCGGGGAACACGTCGGTGGCAGCCCGTCGCTCTGGCCCTGGCCTTCCTGGTGGACCTCCTCCCCTGCCCCACACCCTGCTCACCAGTCCTGTTTCTCTTTCCACCCGGCAGGCAGCACGGACCTCGCCACCGCGTGCAGAGGCCGCCTCGCAGCCTCGGGAGAAGAGGCCCGGCCATTGATGCGTTTGCCTTGGGCGTCGGGGACGCCGTGAAGCAGGAGGCGACCATGGGTCAGAAGGTCACCGGAGGGATCAAGACGGTGGACATGAGGGACCCCACGTACCGGCCCCTGAAGCAGGAGCTCCAGGGCCTGGACTACTGCAAGCCCACCCGCCTGGAGCTGCTGCTGGACATGCCGCCCGTGTCCTACGAGGTCCAGCTCCTCCACTCGTGGAACAACAACGACCGCTCGCTCAACGTCTTCGTCAAGGAGGATGACAAGCTGATCTTTCACCGGCATCCGGTGGCCCAGAGCACGGACGCCATCAGGGGCAAGGTCGGGTACACGCGGGGGCTGCACGTGTGGCAGATCACGTGGGCCATGCGGCAGCGGGGCA